CTGCAGCGTGAGTCATCAAAACTCAAAGTCCCATAATGCCAAGCATGTCAAGAGCGCAGGTCAACTTGTTTGGCAGCACTCGCATGCTGTTTTTACTGGCCACATGCTCTCTGCCATCATACTTGGAGGGATATTGTCTTTGGCTCCTTCTGTCTCCACATGTTTTAAATTTATGTTAGAGCCCCATCAAAACACACTCGCACAAAATCCTGCTGATGTTCATCATTTCAGCCCGACATGTTTATTGACTCTCACAAAAAACCTCTTCTTCTGTTTTGAAAAGCATTATGTGCATAAGAGCGAGAGAGGCATCTAAAATGCTGAAAATGGATACTAATTGAAGGGATAGTTCACCTAAAAATGAAAAGTTGTTCCAAACTTGTACGACTTTCTTTTTTATTCGGTGAAATTTTCATTGGACAGAAAAAAAGCTAAAGCTAAAATATTCCTACATAATCAAAAAAATGTCATGGAACAACAACATGAACAACATGAGGGTGAGTAAATGATGACAGATTTTTTTTTTTTTTTCCTGGGAACAATCCCTTTAAATTCAACTAACAACTTCCAGTTAGTCACCTAAATCATGTGACTCAGGTCCTGTCACTGCCACATCACATCCGTTAGCATTTTTAGTGCATCTTGTCTTCAATACATGTCTGTTAAAAACAAAAGCAAACACATACTCAAAAGCAAATTTATGGTTTGCAGGTTCATGTGATGAAATTCTTTGTGCATGAAACACTGGTTTGTTATATTTTCACAACCGCAGTCCAATCCACTGCCCACCACATCCTGATCCAGGACATTTTTAGTTTTCCTGAAACCTTGGACATGTTAAGAACAAGCTCAGATGGCACCCAGACACACAAACAACTGCTTCTTTCCTCTCTGTGCGACATCATTACAGTTATGAGTCACAATTGAATAACAGATGATCACCAAATGTCACACTTGCAGTCCAACAAAAAGGAAGTACTTGTGAAGTCTAGTATATATCTGAGTGTGTTTTGTTTGACCTAATATAGATGTAGGAGTATAAATCTAAAATAAGGCTTAAAAAGCATTTGAAGTGATAAGGTCTGAATTATAGAGCCATTACGCTTTTGAATGTTGATGTTTTGATGAAGCGTACAGTTCTACAACAACTGTAAAAATACATTACGTATAGCCTTCAGCGTTGGTTTTGGAAGCAATTTCGGAGTAAATCTGGGAAATACAGCAATATTAGATTTGTACTGGAAAGGTTTTAGTCTTTGTGATGTAAATTCTCTTAAGATGAAGAAACCTTCATCAAAATGATTATTTTTTTAGTCCTCCTCAAATGCTTTTCCCCTCTTCTCTTGTCTCTTCTTCAGAGGTGGACTTAAGGAACACGACGTTATTATTTCCATCAATGGTCAGCGCATCTCTACAGCAACGGATGTGAGCGCGGCCATCAAAAAGGACTCTAGTTTACGTGTGGTGGTTCGACGTGGCAACGAGGATGTCATCCTCACTATCATTCCCATGGAGATTGACCCTTGAGCTGGTGCTCGTCGACCCCAACAATGAACTTACTGGGTGTGTCCTCTGCCCCGCCCCTAAGGGGGACGTCTGGCCAATTGTCTGTGCTCTTGAAATGACAGGCTGGATTTTAGACTGTACAGAGCACATTGATGTAGACTCACATTTATTAATGTTTTTATTTTAATCATAATGAATTGATTTAGGATGCTACTACTGTTTATTGTTCAACATAAGCCCATTGGATAGGATTAGATTTTCCAGAATGCACATTTTTTCTTCCATTACCCGACAATTTGGTGCACAGCAGCTTAAAAACTTTTTTTTTGGACTTGTCTGGAATTTTTGTCATATAAATAGATTTTTTTATTGTTTAAAAGATTAAAAACTTTTTGATATTGCGCTTTTCCAGAGCAAAAATGTTTCAAATGGTTTTTTTTAAATAAAAGTTTTCCTGGATTTAATTGAAGACCACAATTGCATCTGAAACAATTTAAAATAAATAAAAGTTTTACATGACATGGTGGTGTATTAACAAGACATGAATCGTTACTGGTGGTACTTTTGACCTCTACATCTCAATATTAGATTCTGTTATACTACAGTTAAACAGTTTGGGGCCAATAATTCCAGATTGTTCAGTCTACAGCATGATAAAACAATTGAGAGGTTTGATTAAGCTACAGTTTGTTTTATAACAATCACTCATAAAGTTTTTTATGGCAGTGTTGTGAAAACTGATGTAGAAATCACTGATTTTATATACACAAAATGTAATATATATATACAGTGATTGGAAATTTACCATGACATTAAAAAGAGGTGAGAACCACTGGCACTGGCATTTTTTTTTCCATAAATGAACTAAATGAACCAGTGACCTTTTGACCTTAGTGTCCTGTGTTCAGTAAACTCCAGTGAACACACGCCATCTAGTGGTATTAGTGTGTAACAACACTCACTTTAGCAACAGGCATAAACGACAACATATTAAAAGTCAACTCTATGTGAATTTAATAATGATGTTGATGAGAGATTTTGTGTGATAATGAGACAAATTAGTTTGCTCTTTATTATTCCAACCACAAAAACTAAGACAAGGTAAAAGGTTAAAAAAAGTAGAGGGCGCTATAGTGAGATCGGACAACAAACACAGGCATTCCCAGCATCCTCCTCTCACGGCCTACTGCAGATGAATCCATTCAGATATGTCATAATCGAGTGATATTATACTAAAGAAGATTGATGTTTCATGAGTGAATGTAAGTAGAAAAGACAGTATTTTCAGTCTCCGTTATATGTTTGGTACTATTTTAACCAAGACGTCCTGTTCTTAAGGGTTTTATTTTAAACATTCTATTGATCAAAGAATCCTGAAAAAAAGACCAACGCTTTCGCAAGAACATTAATGATAATAATAATTGGCCTACATGTTTCTTGAGCAGCAAATAAGAAAAAAATGTTTACAATATTACTGTTTTACTGTATTTTTGATCAAATAAATGCAGCCATGGTGACCATTTGAGCAGTGTGTAGATACAACAAACGACAAAGTGTAGCCTATCCATGTTTCACTATTACGTAATCCTTTTTTTTACTGAAAATAAGGGATGGGGGAACAGAAATGAATACACAGATGAAATGCAAAGCAAGCAAAAATAGAGGGAGACAAAATATACAATATAATTTGTAGATAAACTGGAGCTATTTAATATATCCATTTTGTCCAATATTCATCAGGTTTTGTTATTATTTGGATTGTTTAATTTTCTAAACAACAATTTCCATAAATATAGGCTAATGTAGACATTCTTGTGTAGGTTTTTTGGGCTGTGTGTGTTTGTTGTTTTTTGTTTGTTTTTTGTAGTAAACATGATTCAGAGTAGATCATTTAATACATACTTGAGGGTATAAGGCCAATGGCCAGTGAGACACAGTTATATAATGGACCATGTGAGATTTAGTTGTATCATAGTTGGTAGAACTTGGTACCATGGATAGCTGTCTCTCATGTGGTGACCTATGACCCCATCTAAGGACTTGTGTGTGTGAGATCATCTATTATCTCAGTGGTGATGCCAGTGGCTGCAAGTGCTTTTACTGAGGCCTCCATCATTCACAACCATCTGTTTAGACGGTAGTAATTACAATATCTTTACTGTAAACAGTCAGAAGAATGAACGAGAGCACTGGAAAGGCTTTCTTCTCCAGTAAACACTAGCATAACAAAAGTTTGGATTCAACAGAGTCCATCCATAAATTAAAATTCTGTCATTATTTATTTATCCTTGTGATGTTCCAAACACATATGTCTTTCTTTGTTCGTGGAACACAAAAGGAGATGTTGAATGACAGCCTTTCACAGAATGGCACCATTCATTGTATGAAAAATAAAAAGATGCAATGAAAGTGAATGTTGCCCGAGGTTGTCGGCCCATATTTTGCCTAATATCTCATTTTGTATTCCATAGAAGAAATAAATACACACATATTTGAAACAACATGTGTTTTAATGTGGTTCATTTTAAAAAGAACCTCATAATGTATTCAAGACAGCACAGGTGAATTGGGTAAAGTAAAGATAGTAATATTACCATACTTCCCTAGCCTGGCTGCGCCCTCCTACGCACTTCCGCTCAATTTCATTTTACTTCAGTACAATGAACTAGAGTCTGGTTGAACCAGGCTAATACTTCCCCAGTTGGTTAATCACATTTCATTAAAACAAATGCTTTATTTTACAAGTTTTATGAAATTGTATGTTTAAATATGCAAATTATGCACTATCTAATTAAATATGCACTGTTCGTCGCACATTTTCATAACAGAAATCTAACCAGTAGAAAAAGATAGGTTTAAAATTAAGTTAAAATCTCTCTGCCAGTTCTATCAGTGCTGTTTTGATTTAAAACACCAGGAGGCAGTACTGAAACATTATCGAGATGATGAAAATAAAATTAAAAAAAAAAAAAAAAACACATTCCCATAAACTCCTAAACGTATTTTCCCAAGAATATATTTTGTTTTTCACTTTCTGAAACATAAAAACTCTTAAATACTGTTTTAATGATACTTATCAGCAATTCGTACGAAAACAACAACAACAACATTCGTGTAACACCTTTTGAATTTTTGACAATAAACTAGTCGGAGGGAAAAGGTGAAGGTTTGAAGATGGGTAGCTTTGTACGTTTTTGTTTTGATTGACGAGTAAGAAACGTTCCTCATTGGTCACGCCAAAGGCGTGGCGTAACGGTGCCACGCAGCCGGATTCTACTATGGCGAAGGCTATGCATATTAATGAGGTCAAGCTAACGTTGCTTGGTAACCTTGGAGCGTTCAGTCACGTTTCCTAATTAATATTTACAATTCTTCCTTCTCCATAGTAGGATTGGATAACTTTCAGTCAATCAGTTTACTGGTCGTCTGAACGTCACGCAACGTATTCATTATTCATGAGACAAGTACGGAGGCTCTTTAAAGTTAAATAAACGCCGCGGCGCGACTTGTGTTGCAGTAGCACACAGTGTGCAGAGGCGCTGAGAGACAAACAGGCAACGAACCGTGACGAACAGACCCGAACCTGCGTGGCAAAAAGACTCTTCTAGAGAATGACGTCCATTTGTCCAAGATGCGACAAGACTGTGTTTTTCGGTGAGAGTTTTCCACTAGAATTATCACTTAGCAGAAGTCAAAGCCAAGTTCATTTCATTGTTATCATATCACTGGTTTGGACTAATTGACTCAAATTGCAGGGCATTTAAATTATGTTCTGAAAGGTCAAAGGTAGCCTATTTTTTAAAGGAATAAACTTCTGCAAATCTTGTCAGAGTTACATAACAATGTTTGGAAAGTGTATTTTTTTTTATTTTTTTTTAGTTTTGGAGTCATTGGGTTATAAGCAGTGGGAATTGAACTCTTATGTTTTCTTTTTGTGATATTTAAGACCTCATTTCCACTTTAATAGTTCCAAATATTTCATGGAGTAGTATCGGATATACTTTATAATGTGTGTGTATAATGAATTAAGTTTTATTAGTAGCCTGCTTCATTGTTGTTCTTCATCTGTTTGGTATGTATGTGAATAAATGCAATGTATTTCCATAAACTAATATTCTATCCTTTGCAAATCAGTACTTCCGCCCCAAACCAAAGTGGTGTTCCTGTCCTTGAGAAACATTCTGAAAAGTATGTGTTTGCTTTTTAAACGGTTAAATTTATCTGTCTTGTAGTTTTAACTGGGTCTAAGTAAAAGATGTAGGGTAAAATAATGAATCAAAAAAAAAAATTATTATGAATTTTCCTACTTACAGTGTAGGGATATATGGCACCCCAAAATGCCTGTCTCAAGAAGAAGTAATCTTGCAGCCTGTGCACTGTGTGCAGAACTAAGTATTGTTATTAATAGGTCAAGCATAAGTGACCCAGGCGCTCCCACAACCGCATCGGACGATGTTCTCTAGTCTGTCCAGTTTTTGTCACGTTATATGCTCCTGATTAGTATTCTGTCCCAGAATCCAGTAGCCACAGGGTTAGTAAATGCTTTAGCCCATGAAAAGAGAATTGGGTGACACTGTTACGTAAGAATTTGGCAAGGGACTCTTGAACAAAGTGAGAGGATCTGTTCTGTTGTGCTACTGTTGCAGGTTAGTGGATGGAGTAACTGTCTTTCTGGCTGCACTGAAGAGGAGATATCAGCTTGATGATTTGATATCCCCATTGACCCTAGACTTCTGAAAATGTCTGACTCGGTGTCCTCTCGGTTTGACCTGACTAGATTTGTGTGATGGAATGTGAATGTGTGAGAAAGACAGACCCTTAGGAATGTTGGCTGGTTATGTGTAAAGTTCTGGGATGGTGGGTTTAGTCCCCCATATGCACAATTCACAATGTCAACCTGGAATTTTAATTTTTTTGGTATCATATAATAGCTCTTTCGATTGGTATTTTATCACTACTAAACTAAACAATTAAATTACACTTCAAATATCGTTTTTCCAAATATGGTTTCTGCAATTTACTGTAGTTTGTATCACGCTGATGTAATTTCAAGTGTTTGTTTTTAAAATAACTTTGTTTTTAGTTAGTTATTTGATCATGCAGTGGTGTTGACATCATGATTAATGATTGACAGCTTTGATTGACAGGTACATTTACATTTTACATTTACTCATTTAGCTGAGACTTTTATCCAAAGCGAATTTCAATTGCTATATATGTCAGAGGTCGCACGCCTCTGGAGCAACTAAGGGTTAAGTGTCTTGCTCAGGGACACATTGGTGTCTCACAGTGGATTTGAACCTGACTCTCTCACACCAAAGGCATGTGTCTTATCCACTGCGCCATCACCACCCCTGGTTCTCTGAGTGAAGTAGTTATGCAGTCAAAGCTAGCTTGCTATTGCTAGCCTCTCTGAAATTGCCTACCCTTCCTCAAATGACCTTTTTCCACTGTAAAGAAACTTTTTTGAGATTGAAAGGTTCAATGGATGTTAAAAGTTCAACATTGAGCCATCAATGCCAATATAGAATCTATTTTTAAGAGTGCTAAAATATAAGAGTACTTTTATTTATTTCTTTTTTTTTTTTTGTGGAATGTTGACCTGTGTCTTTCTCTAAATCACTTTTATTTCTCATTCCTGTGCTCCAAAGTCCAAGGCTGTTTACTGTGTATTTGTTCATAGCAAACTATTGATTTTTTTATTTTCTTTTTTGTAGTTATGTTGAATTCAGGAGCTGATAGACGAATGAGAGAACATTAATAAGGGTTAGTTCACCCAAAAATGAAAATTCTGTCAGTAATTGCACCTTCATTTTGTTCCAACCCCGTAAGACTTCTGTTCATCTTCAGAACACAAATGAAAGATATTTTTGATTAAATCTGAGAGCTGTCTCACTCCTCTATAGGCTTCTATTGTAATTAAAACCTGCCAGCCCACAAAGTTAGTAAAAAAACATAATTAAAATCGCTATCGATACGTCATAACATAGGCTCACTATTTGCCGACACTGTCGCTGTTATGAGTGTGATGCTGGCCAATAGTGAGCCTGCGTTCTACGTACATTCTGACGAACATTTTGGATTTAATAAAAAATATGTTAATTTGTGTTCCGAAGATGAACTAAAGTCTTATAGGGTTGGAACAACATGTGGGTGTGTAATTACTGACAGAATTTTAATTTTTGAGTGAAATAATCCATTTATGTAATAAATTCAGTAAAAACAGTAATATTGTGAAATAATATTACAAATTTAAAATAACTTTTTTTCAATTGGAATCATTTCTAAAGTATTATTTTTTCCGATGGCAATGCTGAATTTTCATCAGCCATTTCTCCAGTCATATGATCCTTCAGAAAACATTCTGATATGTTGATTTTGCTGCTCAAGAAACATATTATTACTATGAATGTTGAAAATAACTGTGGTGCTTAATATTTTTGTGAAACCATTTTTTGAAGACTAGTTAATAAATAGATAGCTTAAAAGAACATTTAAAATATTAACTAAAAAAATCTTTCTGACCCCAAACTTTTAAAGTGTTTCTATACTTTTTCATGGCTTAGTTTCTTTTGAAATATCAGTGAAATCCTTGTTTATTTTACTATGCACAATAACTGCTTGTGAAGATCAGAAGGTCAGAGATAAGATGCACATTTCAACATCCTCTTGATAGAAGCAGATCTGACTTCAGCAGGGTTTGCATTGTAACAGGATCTCCCTTTGGAGCTTTTCTTCAGATGGTCCAGTTTGTTCTTCCCCTCCTTTGATGCTGCATTGTTCAGCTGCAAACACACACACACACACACACACATAGAGACCCCACCCATTCAAATTAGTATTTTGTGTGGAAAGTCTTTCTCAGAGCTCTTGTAAGTACTGTTTATATCTCGTCAGATTTAAATGCACAAACACGCACACACAATTGTAGTTGCTACTGTATTTCAGCATTTGCCGAGCTGGGCACACCTGAAAAGAATACTGTTTTTTTATATACTGTAAATTTACAGTAACAGTAATTATTAAAGTTATATAAATAAAGATTTTATACTCCCGCTGGGAGTCAATAATTTGATCCTTTAAAACTCACCTTTGATCACCAAAATAAAAATAATCTGTCATGCCTTAAATGTAACTCTACACACTTTAATGTAAAAATTAGCCCCGACTCTCATCAGCTCAGAGATCCACTTGTTGACATGATTAGTTACAGTTTGTGAGATCAGACACCAGCGATTTCAAAGGGCGTTTTTGAGACTGTCTTTGTTTCACTGCAGTTTAAAGGAGAAAATACTCAGCAATGGTGATGACTTATGAATTTGCACATGGTTTGTCTTGAAGCATATTAAAAACACCATTAAAACAACATGAAAAGCTTGATTTTTACTTCAGGGGAACTTTAAGTAATTAAGTATTAGTATTTTATAGTTTTTTTTTGTTTGTTTTTGTAAGATTTATCTTAACTTGGATGCTTTTATTTGATCAAAAAATAGAGTAAAATAGTTTTATTGTGAAATAATTAATTAAAATTTAAAGTTATTTTTTAAATTGTACAACTATTTAATTAACCCCTTAATATGCTGAGTTGGTGCTCAAAATTTCTTATCAATGTTGTTAAAAATTTCCCCTTAATATATTTGCGGAAACCGTGATCAATTTCTTTTTTCTTTTTTTTTTTTTTTTTTTTGTTAAATAAAAGTTTGAATTGAAATAAACTTTTCTGTCTTTACGGTCACTTTTGAGTGCAATTTTGCTAAATTAACTCTTTTGTTTTTTTCATTAAATAGTCCTTCCCTGACCCTAATCTTTTGAATGGTAGTGTATGCTTGATATTTCCCTTTTTTTATGTTTTTTTTTTTTTTAGGCTTTTGACTATTGACATATAGTCAGGTCCACGTAATTTGGCTGAAATTTAATGTGGCCAAACATAGAAATGTATCTCTACAGTACAATTGTGAGCTTATTAATTGTGTGTAATTTAGATATCACTGCAGTTAAAGCTGTCACCCTCAGTTACGGCATCACACACTAATAAGATAACACATTACACTCTCTCCCTGTTCTAGCTGAGAAAGTGAGCTCTCTGGGGAAAAACTGGCACCGCTTCTGTCTGAAATGTGAACGATGTAGTAAGATTCTGTCTCCTGGGAGCCATGCGGAGGTAAGCATAACTAAAGCTAATACTGCAGGCTAAGATGCCATTAAAGGGTTAGTTCACCCAAAAATGAAAATTCTGTCAGTACATGAATTACTCACCTTCATGTTGTTCCAAACCCGTAAGACTTTCGTGCATTTTCGGACCACAAATTAAAATATTTTTGCCCACACAAAAGAAAATGAATTGAGTAAAGCTTGTCGCTTGATAAACTTAATGTTGAGCCTCTGATGTTTTTACTAATTTTTCTGGGCCGACAGATTGAAATTACAATAGAAGCCTATGGAGGAGTGAGACAGCTCTTAGATTTAATCAAAAATATCTTAATTTGTGTTCCAAAAATGAACGAAAGTCTTACAGGGTTGGAACAACATGAAGGTGAGTAATTACGGACAGAATTTTCATTTTTGGGTGAACTAACCCTTTAATGAAATATCTCTTTCTGATCATTGGGTATTTTTTTCCTTTTTTTCTTTCTTTCTTGCTTTCTTCCTCTTTCTTAATTTCCTTCCTTCCTTTCTTTTCATTTGATCAGACAGCACAGTCATGATTCCTAATGACAGATAAATGAGATTCTGGATGTCCGACCTACTTCTTGGTCTGTATGTATGTTAGTCTGTAGAGTTTCAGGCTTGCACATCCTCAATGTCATTTAGCAGGAGATCACACAACTGATTCTAAAAGCTCAAGCCATTGGGCTGACACTGATTCTAGGTCATCCATGTGCTTACCTATTTCAGTGCCCCTCACTGTACTTTCTTCTTCCTTTTTTCTTTTCTCTCTCCTTATTGTCCTGACATGTTCGATGGTCTAGTCTGACACATTTTCTAGTTCAGTGATCCGAGTTGTCTTTTGTCCCTGTTTGGGTTAAATGATTGTTCATGCATGCATATAAGTCTATACTCCACCCGTAGACATTTCACTCACCAGGAGTAGAAGTTTATGGAGGAATTGAAAGTCCTTCAATGACTGTAAGCACAGATAATACGTATTTATAGTAACCTCATTGGATCTGTCTGGAATGCTCTCTTGACTGTCAGGGAGAGATTACATTTACTATCTATTTAAATTTTTAGCTTGTTTGTTTTCTTGAAACAGTTACATAAAGCCATTCCCATTTTCTTAATTCTCTTGGGGTCCATACTTCAACCCTAAACATCAAAATATCTAAGAATAAAAGGATAAGGAATAAATATTCTTGGTACTCCTTACAAAAAGCATTTGATTTTGCATTATTTTGTCTTTTTTTACAGTATGAACAGAAAAGAGATTGACAGACACACAGCAGGGTGAAGAATGACTGACTGTGTTAACAGGAAGCGAAACAAATTCTTTTAGTCTTGGGCTTTAATACTAGCCTCTAAAAGGAAATGTAAATCATAATATTCTTAACCGCAATGAAATTCATGGTGAAATGGCTGTAATCTGTCATTTTCAAATGCATGTTCAGTCCGGTGTAGCTGCTTCATTTCAAATAACTTTACTCTAAGCCTATGCACTTTCTCTCACACACAGTGTTACTGAACTATTACAAGGACAATGTATGGACAAAGATAGTGTACATTCAAACCAGAAAACAATTGTCTGCTTTTCTGCTTCTCTTCCTTTCTTCCTTCTCCCTCCTTCTCTCTCTCATCACGCTCACACTTGCTCACACACATACACAAGTCACAGACAGCTTGAGTTTAATTATAAGGTGAGTTTGGACTGAAAGTTTTTATTTTCTTTTTTTTCTATTGCTTTTTCATTTGTGTTGATAATAATGAATGGACAAACAGTTTTTCATTGTCTCACTGAAAGATATATTTAGTCTTGTTACTCTTCTGTTAAAGTTACTGTTTCCCCTTCTTTTGAGAACTGTGTCTGGTCTTATTCCTCTTATTGTGTTCAAAACAGCAGGAGGTTGTGTTGTTGGTGTTCACACTCTGCAGGTGTCTACTGCCTTTTTTTCCCTAAGTCTATTCTTTGGGAAATGGCTCTCAGTGGGAACGCAAACTGTGTTTTTAGCTTGTCACAATAGAGACACTGAGATAGATGTTGCTTTTAATATAATATATAAAATATATATAAAAATGCCTGATTAAGATGGTAATACAAATAAATAAGTAAATATCTGTTTGCTCAGTTTAGGATGTTATTTTGGATTTAATGTTTTGAGCACACATGCACTAAACGCATGCCCACTAAAATAGAAATGTGCGTGCGTGCGTGTGTGTGTGTGTGTGTGTGTGTGTGTGTGTGTGTGTGTGTGTGTGTGTGTGTGTGTGTGTGTGTGTGTGTGTGTGTAAGGAGGCTTGAATTTCATCCTGATTTGAGCCTGACTGGGTCTTTTTATGCAGTCTGGGAGGAGCAGGAAGGAACAGAAGGATAAACAATGACCTCTAATGAATCCAGCACAACACAAGCCTCTTTCTCTCTTTCATTCTGTCTCCCACAAACACTTCTGAAAATATTACCTTGCTTGAAAATTTAGGTTTTAGTAGAAGAGTGTCTGGCACAAATTTTTATTTAATTTACAAATACACTTTTAAAAAAAAAAAATATTATTATTGGTCGTTAACTGTAAATATCTGTACGCACTCTGCAATTATAATATTTTTCCCGTTTTAGTTTAGTATGGTTTATTTATGTGATTAAAAAAAATTATACATTTGTATAGTGAGAAATTCAGCAGATGTAAAATAAAGTTAAAATGGACTAATAAAGATATTCTCTCTTTCACACTATCAGCATGATGGATTGCCTTACTGTCATAAACCCTGTTACGGAACTCTCTTTGGACCAAAAGGTATGTGCAATAAATTGTATTTGGAGTTTGTAAGGTGTTTTGTGCGTGCATGTGTGTAAAAATGTGAGACATTAAATTGGAAATATAGTGTATTTTCATCTTCATGTACAGGGAATAAAGGTTTGAATCAGGGCTCATTTAGAGACATCTGACTCTCAGTGACTTTTAGAATAACCTTCCAACCAAAGACCGTTCACTCACCACTAGAAACCTTATCGTTCATGTGCGTGTCAGAGAGAGGGAGAGGGGGAAAGAGAGAGAGAGGTTTTTTTACCCTCGTGTTTTTTTTTTTTATACAAAGTGAGTGTGTAATTCAGAAGAGATGCATTTTATCAGGATCTGAACAGGTTATTTTGGGCTTTTGTGTAATGCTATCTGCATTAGGAGAGTCTGAACACTTAGATATGAGCTTTATCAACCACAAACACTCACTCACACACTAATGCTCTGTCCTCTCTTTGGAAGGTGTAAATATCGGAGGGGCGGGGTCTTATATATATGACACGCCTCCTCAAACACCAGTTGACAAATCATTTAACAGCCCTTCAGACGGAGCACCCACCACACCTTGGACCAACTCACAGATCAACTATAATCAACCCAAAGGTAATTTGTTCAAAAGTTTTAAGTCAGTGATATATTATTATTATTATTATATATTTTTTTTAATTAATACTTTTATTCTGAAAGGATGAATTCAATTATCGAGCCTTGACTTATTCATGATCTAGAAAAACAGCAAAGAACAAGACAAAATAAACAAAATAAATCCAAATGCTAAAATTGAGACAGGATATTTAATAACTCCTTTAACTTGATCACTTTATGAGCCAAGCTTAAACAGTAAGCCCAAAAACAATTCAATAAGTGGAAATAAGTGGAAATGGCCGCCTTAAGTTTCCAAGCATAGGCCTATATGCTTGGAAAGAGTTGGAGGAGTAAAAACATGACTCCTCCATCAACTGTGCTTTAGTTAAAGTTGTTGAACATAATGATTCTTTAAGTATGGCTGCTGCAAATTCAGGTCTTTTTAAAAGCTGCAAAAAAGTGTATTGACGCCTTGATTACAAAGTAATTATGAAATGGTTTAAAAGAAGAAATCACTTTGTGGGATCAATTGCGAAAAACAAAGTCGCTCTTTTCCATTTAAATCTCAATATGATTATTATATATAACAAATTTTGTTTTATTAAAGGTATAGCGGAGGATCTTTCCGAATTTTAGAGAAGACCCGCCCTCTCCAATTTTAAAAAAAATGCACATGCACAAACAACACTCTTGCTCCCGAGAGGGAACGTCTATACGCCTCGCACAATTATGTTGCAAATTCTAAACTAACTAAAAAGCATTCATAAAAAAGACAACATGTCAAATGCCCTTCCGTGTTTTATTTACTTATTTATTTACTGATCGATTGAGTGACCGAGGACTCAAGACATGATATGTGCAACCCTGTATCACACGAAATACGTTCTGAGGAAACTATTCTGCAAATCGCAATTACGTTACATAGCAACATAAGCAGTGCTATTACGTTGGTCCTTAACCTAATATCTCTCATTGTTAATACGTTATTTTTATACATAGTTGCATATGGAGAAGTAGCTTGTTGCATTTGTGTAATAATAAACACACAAGATTTTAGAATATTTCAGCGTGATACCATTTACCATTTTGGACAAAAGGCTACTTTAGACAAATTGAGATGTTTACCGTGTCTATGCGGTGCATGACTCGTGCCAGGGCTAGCATTGTAGCTTGCATTAACTTTTTTAAATGGATTTCTCCAAATAGCGTGACAAACTTTACCTGTCTGGTAGAATCTTCGCGACTGCGGCATCAGTGAGAAGCCCAACCTGTGCTTTTAGCGCACGCCAGCGTGTGATATTCACCCAAAATCTCTCTGGTCTTGTTTCTATATTCTGCGGCCTTTCTCTTCTTATCATACACTTAGTAAACATTTTTTCTCTTTCGACCCTCAGCCATTTTCAAAGGAATGGCTGAAACCGTAACTCCAACAAAATACACCTGAAAGTGAAAACTACATAGGGATGAGCACGTAGCCTACGACGGCCTTACGTAAACATATCACCAGAATGATTGACACTTAGGTGGACCAATAGTATAGACTACCCACCCGGAAAAAGAAAATCCTCCGCTATACCTTTAAGTGTAGTGTAATGAAATGACATTCAGACATGGTTACGTGTGAGTTAAGTGTCCAAATGTGTCCATATGCTATTTTTAGCCACTGTATATATAGACACACTCTTCCAAGCTGCATTGTTCCACACATTCCTTTATATATTAACACTTCCTCAGCACTTTTTAACACACACACAGATTCCCACACGGAGTGGGAGATAGAAATACTTAAATGTGTGTGTTGTAATAGAGGGGTGGGAGGATTGTTTTCTGAAGTGATCCCCTTGGGATTTTATGCCATGGAATTTTAATGGCTTTAGTTGATTGGCTCCTTTACTGAAATATTTCCCCTTAATAGGTGTTTTCCGACAGGCGGGATGTTGCAGGAATGTAAGGGGAGGGTTTTAAGGACTGCTGTGGAAATGTCTACTCTAGAGAAATGTCTCAGAATGTAATGTGTTTCCTCTGAGCCAAGCACCATGGGTTCCCTTTGTTAAATATACTGTAACACAGGCAAAGACATTAGGATCTGTAACAGGTAACAGTCTGTCATCTGATGTGAGACAGAAGTGTTGATTTAAAGATCCTTATCAAAGCTGGATCACACAGAACAGATAAACCAGTCCTCCAGAACAACAAACCAGTCCTCCGACTATATTAAAGTTAGTTCAGATTTTTTTTTAACATACACAGATACGAAAATAAAAGTTTAAACAAGTATATATACAGAACCATGAAGTGTTTGCTTTTCCTTTGTAGCTTCGAATGCTCCTACACGCATGTTTGCTGGAGAAACTTATTCGTGTCCCGGCTGTGGAAAGGCAGTTTATTTCGGTGAGTTCAGTGAATCAAAACTATGACTTTTCAGACATTTGAGAACTTTCAGGAATGTCTGTGGTGTGTGTGAGTGTTTGCGAGTGAGTGAATGTGTAAGTGCATGCGCACATGCTTGCGTTTTTCGCGTGCGTGCGCCTGCTTGGTATTCCCTACGTTACGGGGACCAAATGTCCTCACAAGAACAGTGATACCAGTTCTTGTTGGTCGAAGAACTGAGGAAAACAGCTTATAAATCATACGAAATTATACATTCTAAAAATGTAAAAATGCAGAAAGTTTTCTGTGATGGGTAGGTTTAGGTTTAACGTTAGGATATAGAATATACAGTTTTGTACAGTATGAAAATCATTATCTAGGGAAAGTCCCTATAAAAGATGAAATGTGTATGTGTGTGTTCCTGAGTGTGTGCGTGCATTGTGCCTGTGTGTGTGTGTGTGTGTGTGTGTGTGTGTGTGTGTGTGTGTGTGTGTGTGTGGTGTGTGTGCTTCTGTGGTAAATACTGCTTGTGTGCAAGCATTCTGTCTAACCATTCTGAGATTTTAAGGCTATTTAAAAGGGAACAGCAAGAATTTTTGATTTATGGTGGTTACTTGTGCAACATTAAACTTTGTTGTTCTTTTTGTATATTATATATTATTTTGTTTTTAATGTATAATCATTTAAATAGATTGATATGATGTCATTTGTGTTGTAATGTGGTGATGTCATGGTCTAATGCTACAGCCGAGAAAGTGATGTCACTGGGTCGCAACTGGCACAGGCCTTGTCTTCGCTGTGTGAGGTGCAAGAAAACACTGACCCCTGGTGGTCATGCAGAGGTACTTATAAAAGCATTGTTCAGCCTACTGCTAGGGTTTAATTTTTTAAAGTTTATATTATTTCATAATAATGTATTAATAAATTAAAGGAATGTAACACAAAGATATGTGATCAATAGTAGAGTTCTTCTTATATATAATGTATATAAGTGATGTATTGTGTAATATTTGTAGAATATTTACCATAATGATTACTTCATTATTAATTTCGGACTCCTTAATAATACGCTATTATTTTCTCTATTTTCTGCAGCATGAGGGCAGCCCATACTGCCATGTGCCCTGCTATGGGTACCTTTTTGGACCAAAAGGTGTGAACATTGGAAAAGTGGGCTGTTACATATACGAGAAAGAAAATGCAGAGAATGAAATCCCAAGTGAGCATTAAGTCATAACGAAAAAGCTCTTTTTTAAAATTTGGTACTGAAGTGTTGTTTTTTTTTATATATATATTAATAAAATTGTAAGGTGTAAAGGTTAATTTGATATATGCAAATGTCTCATGTGTTGTAATTGATAATCAGAAATGGCCACTGGCATCTTAAAAATGAATACTAAACAGTCCATACTCAAACACACACACAGGCTCTCTCTCTCTCTCATTTTTCTGTTCCACAATTTCACAGATCAAAACATTGATCCACAATTTCAGTGTATTCATTCACAACTCCATTTTAGAAAATCTCTAATTATTACATGGCACTGGATACATTTTTAAATCTTATAAAAAAAAATATTTGTAACTAATAAAAAAATATTTTAAAAGAACTTTAGAATTATTCTTTCATTTTTGTGCACATTTACTGTCTTGGAATCTGAACATGACACTAAGCAGTGGTGGAATGTAACGAAGTACAAATACTTTGTTACTTTACTTAAGTACATTTTTCACGTATCTTTACTTTACTTAAGTAGAATAAATTGCGCGTACTTTTTACTTTTACTTCGTTACATTTTGCAGCAATTATTATACTTTCTACTCCACTACATTTCTACAACTTCAGTTACATTTTCATTACATTTTCTGATCAGTTTTTCCCCTGCCAAAACGTAATCTGACCGTCCGTCCGTTGCACGTTTGTCTCACCAGTGACGTTTGGTCGCCATAGAGCCTCCATTTTTGCACTCAGGTCTAAGTCCCATGGCCCTCTATCAGAATCCAGAGTTTCAAGAAGATTGGAGAAACTTATTTTTTTTTTTGGGTCGAAATTTTGAGTTTCTCCAATCTTCTTGAAACTCTGGATTCTGATAGAGGGGCATGGGACTTAGACCTGAGTGCAAAAATGGAGGCTCTAGACCCTTCCAGAGCTGAGATATTGAGATATTTATAATGGCATAAATGCTACGTGGTATCTCAATATCTCAGCTCTGGGACTGGTAACACTGTCGTTTTTTTTTTTTGGGTCGAAATTTTGAGTTTCTCCAATCTTCTTGAAACTCTGGATTCTGATAGAGGGGCATGGGACTTAGACCTGAGTGCAAAAATGGAGACTCTAGACCCTTCCAGAGATATTGAGATACCACGTAGCATTTATGCCATTATAAATATCTCTATATCTCAGCTCTGGAAGGGTCTAGAGCCTCCATTTTTGCACTCAGGTCTAAGTCTCATGGCCCTCTATCAGAATCCAGAGTTTCAAGAAGATTGGAGAAACTTATTTTTTCGCACAAAAAAAAAAAAAACCGACAGGGGTAACACTGTCGTTTTTTTTTTTTGGGGGGGGGGGTCGAAATTTTGAGTTTCTCTGATCTTCTTGAAACTCTGGATTCTGATCTTACGTGCAAACTCTGCCCGTCGACAAAATAATTTTTATCTGTGGTTGTATATGGGCTGTGGCAATAATTATAGCCTACTAATAAAAAAGAAGCTGCAGGCAACATATGGAAAAAAATAAATATGAACTAGTTAATTTTTTGAAGTATGAAATATGAACTGAACTAGTTCATTTTAAAATTTGTGAACTGAACTTTGATCCAACAGGTTGATAAGAAGGTTTGCTTTGATATGTGCAAAGTCAGTAAATTGCCTGAGACACTATGTGTAGAAAGAATTATTTGTATTAAAAAGCAATAATTGTTTTTCTAAGTATAATAAATAAAAAAAATGCCTTCCGAAAAAAGAAAAAAAAACATTCAATATAATAGTGTTGTTTAAAGAAAATAAAAAGCAAATATGACTATCACAAAGATGTTGTGTATAAGAAAAAGACAAAGAAAGTTTGTAAAATTAACTTCAACTGTCAGAAGGACAGATCATGAAGAACCAATCATGTACAGAAAGGAATGTTCAAATTCAGAGGAACAGTTCAGAAGAAACGTTAATAATAAAGATTGAGAAAAATGGAACAGTTGTGCTCCATTTTTGGAATACTTAAATACATTTTTTTTTTTAATACTTGATGCGGCCCGGCCTGACCCAGACTCTATCTGCAGCGGCCCCCAGTTAATTTGAGTTTGAGATCCCTGATTTAAAAGGTTATGGTTAACACGGTTAACGTGGTTTAACGTCGATGTAATACGTTGTTTTTAGCGTACCTTTTGCTTAAACGAGGAGCTGGGGGGACGCCGGAAAAATAGACATTTTACTCATTAGGCTGCTTCATTAAAAACGTGACATTTAGATTTTCTTCGGCGTGGATCCATGCAAATGAATCATTTTCACCTTGAAAATAATAATTTTTTGTTTTTTTTTGTTTTTGCATTTTAAATAATAGAACATTTCTCAGTGATCGTCAATAAAAGAAAATTCAATTTTTCTCGGTTTAATGAAAACCAATAGGTCGTGATGGTAAGTTTTAAGTGTAAGTTTCACGTTTGAGGGGATTTAAACCGTGATATCTACACGTTTTCAAAAGTGGACCAACGTGATTATTTCACATCTTGTCACGAGACCAGGTTGAAGAAATATTGTTTAGGCCACTTTGTTTGATATAATCACAACAATTTAACGCAAGTATGGGAATTGAACTCGGGTCTTCTTGATTAAAGCCCAACGCTTTATCAACTGAGCCACTGCCTCTGTTGAGTTCAAAAGTGTATTGGAAGGGGTTTTATTGCAGGTTTGGCTTTATTTGTTGGAAAAATAAATATAGAAATATAATTTGACACAAGAGGGCAGTATAGCCCTATTTATGGTTTTGAGTTTAAACTAAACCGTGACATCTACACGTTTTCCAAAGTGGACCAACGTGATTATTTCACGTCTTGTCGTGATACGGGTTAGGCACTGAAGTTACAGGAGTTTCTTCCCGTTGCTAAGCAATGGAACTAGGTCGAGTATTTAAAAGGTTATGGTTAACACGGTTAACGTGGTTTAACGTCGATGTAATACGTTGTTTTTAGCGTACCTTTTGCTTAAACGAGGAGCTGGGGGGACGCCGGAAAAATAGACATTTTACTCATTAGGCTGCTTCCTTAAAAACGTGACATTTAGACGTTTTCTTCGGCGTGGATCCATGCAAATGAATCATTTTCACCTTGAAAATAATAAATGTTTTTTTTGTTTTTTGTTTTTGCATTTTAAATAATAGACCATTTCTCAGTAATCGTCAATAAAAGAAAATTCCATTTTTCTCGGTTTAATGAAAACCAATAGGTCGTGATGGTAAGTTTTAAGTGTAAGTTTCACGTTTGAGGGGGTTTAAACCGTGACATCTACACGTTTTCAAAAGTGGACCAACGTGATTATTTCACGTCTTGTCAGGATACCGGGTTGAAGAAATATTGTTTAGGCCTCTTTGTTTGATATAATCACAACAATTTAACGCAAGTATGGGAATTGAACTCAGGTCTTCTTGATTAAAGCCCAACGCTTTATCAACTGAGCCACTGCATCTGTTGAGTACAAGTGTGTATTGGAAAGGGTTTTATTGCAGGTTTGGCTTAAGTTGTTGGAAAAATAAATATAGAAATATAATTTGACACAAGAGGGCAGTATAGCCCTGTTTATGGTTTTGAGTTTAAACTAAACCGTGACATCTACACGTTTTCCAAAGTGGACCAACGTGATTATTTCACGTCTTGTCGTGATAGGGGTTGGGCACTGAAGTTACAGGAGTTTCTTCCCGTTGCTAAGCAATGGAACTAGGTCGAGTATTTAAGTCTAGACCCTCCCAGAGCTAAGATCTAGAAACTAAAAATTTCGACCCGAAAAAAAAAACGACAGTGGTACCCCTTTTGTTTTTATTTTTTTATTTTGGGCGAAAAATTAAGTTTCTCCAATCTTCTCAAAACTCTGGATTCTCAGACTAGAGTGGCAGACTTAAACCTGAGTGCAAAAATGGAGGCTCTAGACCCTTCCAGAGCTGAGATATCGCGAAACTCAAAAATTTCGACCCGAAAAAAAAAAACGACGCAGTGGTACCCCTTTCGTTTTTTTTTTTGTTCGGGCGAAAAATGAAGTTTCTCCAATCTTCTCGAAACTCTGGTTTCTGATAGAGGGCCATGAGATTTAAACTTGAGTGCAAAAATGGAGGCTCTAGACCCTTCCAGAGCTGAGATATCGAAACCCAAATATTCGACCCAAAAAAAAAACGACAGTGGTACCCCTTTCGTTTTTGTTTTTTTTTCGGGCGAAAAATTACGTTTCTCCAATCTTCTCAAAACTCTGGATTCTTATAGAGGGCCATGAGACTTAGACCTGCGTGCAAAAAAGGAGGCTCTAGACCCTTCCAGAGCTGAGATATCGAAAATCAAAATTTCGACCAGAAAAAAAAACGACAGTGTTACCCCTTACGTTTTTTTTTGGGCGAAAAATTACGTTTCTCCAATCTTCTCAAAATTCTGGATTCTTATAGAGGGCCATGAGACTTTGACATGAGTGCAGAAATGGAGGCTCTAGACCCTT